GCAATGAGGTCACCCCGCAGCCTTCTTTTCTCCAGGCTGAACAAGCCCAGCTCTTTCAGCCTGTCTTCATATGGGAGGTGCTCCAGTCCCCTGATCATCTTCGTGGCCCTCCTCTGGACCCTCTCCAACAGCTCCCTGTCTTTCTTGTACTGGGGGCTCCACACTTGGATGCAGTACTGCAGATGGGGCCTCACAAGAGCAGAGTAGAGGGGAACAATCACCTCTCTGTCCCTGCTGGCCACCCCTCTTCTGATGGAGCCCAGGATCCCATTTGCCTTCCGAGCCACAAGGGCACACTGCTGGCTCATGTTAAGTTTTTCATCCATCAATACCCGCAGGTCCTTCTCCACAGGGCTGCTCTCAAGGACCGCTCCTTCCAGTCTGTAGGGATGCTTGGGATTCCTCCGGCCCAAGTGCAAAACTCTGCACTGTGCCGTGTTGAACCTCATCAGGTTCACCCAGCCCACCTTTCTAGCCTCTCGAGGTCCCTCTGAATGGCATCCCTTCCTTCAACCGTGTCAACCACACCACTCAGCTTGGTGTCGTCAGCAAATTGCTGAGGGATCAGACAACTCGACATCTTTATATCACTGACGGTGGGATTGCTGATGGCACTGAGCTGAGCGGGAGGGATGACAGCATCCGGAGTGACCTGGCTTAAAAATTGGGCCCGTGGGAGCCGAACGAGGTTTCCCACAACACAGCACGAAGTGCTGCGTCTGGGTTGGGGCAATCCCAGATACAACACGGACCGAGAGCAGCGCCGTGACGGAGGAGGGGTTCTGATGGGTGAGACACAGGATGTGAGGCGGCGGCGCTGCGGGCTCAGAGGCCAGCGGTCCTTGGGCTGCACCAGCAGAGGGGCGGCGGGGCACGAAGGGGAGCGCCGTGTTTTACTCAGCGGCCGCGGCACCGCGCAGAGCCGTGCCGCCCATCCCTGGAGGTGCCCGAGGCGCCAACGGCACGGGGTGGAGCTCGACGATTTCTAAGGTCTCCTTCGACCGTTCCGTGATTCCGCACTCGCTAAAAGGGGGAGGCAGAGCCCGTTACGTCGGGCGGCCCCGCGTGACCACATCGCGCTGACGTGCGGCGCTGCCAGTCAGCCCGGCAGGACGCGAGCCGGCGGCCGCCGCACTGAGACGTGAGGGACGTGACCGGGCGGCGCGGGGCGGGGCGGGGCGGGGCGGGGCTGCCGGGGCTCGGCGGAGCGCCGCTCTCTGGGCGGGTCGGCGATGCCCGCCGCGTTCCGCCCGCCCTGCGTTCCAACGCCCCGCGCCCCAGACGGCACCTCGCACATCGCTCATCGGTTTTAAGTCACGCCCGATTAACCCTCGCGAAATGAACGGCCCCGTTGCAAACGCGGCTGAAATTCGCCTCGTTTATCTCCCGGCGCAGCGGGTCTGAGAGCTGCGTGCAGCGCTGCGCGGCGGCGATGGGTTCCGTTCCGGATTCCTCCATCACAAACGGGCCCTTCCTTTGGTAACGGACGTGTTTACACGGCAGCGAATGGAGTTAAATCCGCGTGTTTTCGTGCTGCTGGTATTATCCTCCTGTTGCCATGGAAACCGATACGGGCTCAGTTAGGAGGAATCACGGGATGGTTGGAGTTGGAAGGGACCCTAAAGGCCGTCTGGTGCCACCCCAGCACTGAGCAGGGACACCCACAGCTCCATCAGTGCTCACAGCCCATCCCTGACCTCGGCTGTCTGCAGGGATGGGGCACCACCGCCTCCATGGGCAACCTGTGCCACTGCCTCACTGCCCACAGTGTGAAAACTTCCCTACATTCAATCTAAACCTCCACTCCTTCAGTTTGAAACCATTTTCCCCTGTCCCATCCGAAAGGAGCCTGCTAAAGAGTCTGCCCCCATCTTACAGCCCCTTTAGGGACCGGAGTATTGGAGGTAGCGCTGCTGTTGGGATGTTTGGTGCCGTGGTTTGGGGTACACAGAAGGACGGCATCTGTATTATAAATAACTGAAGGTGGAAACGGGAAGAACCTCGTAGTGCTGCTCAGCCACTGCCTTACTGCCACACAGCAGTGCTGCAGGGGCAGCGGTGTGGATGGGAGAGAAGTGGGAGTATGAGGGCTGACCTACAAGCCTCGAGAATGCTTTTAACAGAGGGACACCCAGATACGTGCATGACCCCGAGCCTTCAGCCAGAGATAAATAACGGCCATCAAAGAGAAAGCAAGAAGTTCCACTGAGATTCCATATCAGACTGGGAATAGGCAGAATCCCACAGCTAAAAGGCAGACAGCCGAGCTGACACTGATCCGTGCCACAAAGACAATAACGATCCTCCATTTAGAGGGGCATGGATACACGAAAAAGCACAGAGTGCTCCATACTGTGCACCAATAGGGGTCACAAACCTCTGCCTTTGCCTGCGGGCATTAAAATCAAAGGAGGAACAGCATCCGACCAAAAGAGGAACAGCAGCACTGCCAGCAGTGGTGGTGGGAGCCGGGCTGAGTGCTGCATGCAGAGGGGCTGCTGTACAGAAAGGGAAAGGCTTTCTCCATCACCTTATTCTGAAGGTGAATGAAAAAGCAGCCAAATGGGAGACAGGCAGTGACAGAGCTTCTCGGCAAGGTAACACTGTGACAGCCAGCAGCTTTAAGGGCTTTTTGTTGAGTAAAGAGTGCGGTTCAGGCTGCCACAAAGGGGTTCGGGCTGCCACAGAGGGGTTCAGGTTGCCACAAAGGGGTTCAGGCTGCCACAAAGGGGTTCAGACTGCCACAGAGGGAAGCGAGTGCCTCATTTTGCAATGTTTACCCCCGAGGGAGCGGTGCTTTGTTAAATCACGAAGCTCGGCAGTTCCCAAACGTAAAGCAGAAGCTGTGAGAGCAGCACCTACAGCAGGGAGGGAGGGGATGTAACTGTAGGGGGGTGACAGACACAGAACTACGTGGGTTTCTGAGCACCATGTGTGGTTCCACACGCTGTGTGAAGCCATTCCAGCCACACCTGCCAACCTGAGGCACCGCACAGGAATGCAACAGCTTGGCACAATGGAGCAGTGCCGTTGTGTGGCACAGCAACACCACGCAGACACCTCAGCACTGCTTTGCTTTGACACGAGACGAAATAAGGAAACAATTGGCACGACGCCTTTGTGAAAGCAGCACCGTGGGCACAGGGCTGAAATGAATGGCCGTGACACTCAGGGAACGCAGGGGTTCCACTTTGGTCCAACGCTGTAACTTCTATTTTTGAAAGCGCACTGAAAGCAGTGGGATAACTCACATAGAACTGGAGTCACGCTCAGCACTGCTGCTCGGAAAGGGCACCCGGGGGGATGCTGACAGCTCCACGTCTGCACTTACAGCAATAGGTGTGGTGCAAGGAAAAAAACAACCACGGCTTTCAGAGGAGCACAGTTCACTTCTCAGAAAGAGCACCGACTGCTGGTAGGGTGGAGGGTGAGAGCAGAGGTTTGCCCCTGTGCTAACGGGGAAAACCGGGCTGCCGCTGGTTGTGTTTGTAAGTAAAGAAAGCGTTCGCTTCGAGATTAAAAGAGCAGCTTCCTTCTCGGTAAGGAGCCGCACGAACAGCTCATCGCCCAGCCCGAGGGCGTTGCTTTCGCAGCAGCCAAGCTCAGGGCGCTCGCTGGTGATGTGCGGCTCGTCGAGGAGAAATAAAGGCACCAAAGCATCACCTGACTATCGCAGATAATTTGAAGAGCCCGGTTCTTACGCGCTAATTGTAAAAGCAAACAGCTTCCCCCGCAGAGCAGCTGGAGCGGGGAACGCAAAGGACGCGATGCTATGGATAAACGCACAGCGGGAACGGACTGTGTCATCCCGGGCCGTGAGTAACAGCGTGTGTTACTGCGGCCGTGGGAACACCGAGCGGGGATGGATTGATCAGCCCTCAGTGCAGCGACGGATGGAACGGCTGGATGTGGGGAGACGGAGAGCGGGAGATGGAACGGCCCGAAGGACGGGCACGCGGCTGCAAACTGTTGGACAGAACAAAGAGAGAATGGAAAACCCTGTGGGGCCCAGCGGGGAGGAGGGGTCGGGGAACGGGGGAGGTAAACACGGCGACGGTTTTGTGGGGAACGGGAATTTGCAGCAGCCTTTGGGAACGGGTTTTCCATTAACATGGCCGGCACAGAAGCGGACGAGGCGCAAGAAACGCGCGCCTGTGGCAGCGCCCGACCGGCAGCCCGCAGCATCGCAGCCCGCGGGCATCCCTCGCAGCGCGGCCGGGGCGTTCGGAGCCCCGCGCCTGGAGGAGCCGGGACGGACCGCGCCGCTCCCACCGCCCCGCGGCCCCGACCCGACGGATGCGGTCGGACGGAGCTCCGCTCGCGCCCCCCGCCCGCCCCGCTCGGACCCACCGCGCTCCCCCGGCATCGCGCGGGTCGCTCCGCCTCGTTACGGTACCTGAGTCACGGCCCGCGCTTCGGCTCGGAGATCCCCGCCGCCCGCTCTCCCCTCCCGCTCTCCGGTTCGACCCGGCGCTGCCCGTCTGCCGAGCGCCTCGGCGCGGCGGGTCGCGTCCGCTCGCCCCTCCCTCCCCCGTCCCCGCGGTGCCGCCCGGGTCCTAGCGCCGCCACGTGGCCCTTCCCGCCGCCGCGGCTTCGCCCGCCCAGAGGCACGCGGTCGCGTTCGGTGCCGTCCCACCGGGACGCCGAGGACCGCCTGCAAACGGCACCGCCCGCAGCCACCGACCGGGTTGGGAGCTCCGCCGGGAATGACGGCGTGCGGCCGCGCTGCGGAGTGCTGCCCTGCGGCAGGTCGGGCGGGTGGGAACCCGGTCTGCAGAGGAGAGCCACGCAATTTGTGCTCATTGCCCCCTGTTCTGTCGCTGCACACCCCCGGAAAGTTTGCCCCCATCGGGTTGACTCCCGTGTTTTAGATATTTATATAGTGCGATCCGATCTCTCTCAGCCTACTCCTTCAAGAGAGAACAGCCCCACGGACCTCAGCCTTTCCTATGGGAGATGCTGCAGGCCCTGTCTCTTCAATGTGTTTGTGAACATCCCTTTCCATATCTAGCTTCTTCTCTCATGTGAGTGCCTGTAAGAGCTACTGGTGGTTTAGAAGCAATCCAAAATGTAGGTGTACCCATAGGATAAAGGTGACATATTGGCAGCTATTTCCCAGCTTCTCTTTTCTCACTTCCCAGCTCTCCATTCCTAGGCACCTCTGTCCACCCTACGTACTTATACTTACACAGCACAGATCTCAAAGGTTTCGATTAAAAGATCTACTGGGGGGCCGTGCATTTCTATCGTGCAGTAACTCAAGCAAGAGGGAATAACAAAACATTTTTGAAGGATGGAACTGTCCCTCCTCCTTAAGCAACGATGCTCAGAGGCTGTGGCAATGTTTGATTAGTCAAGAACTGTAACTGCTTTCCGGTCCTTCGGGGCAGTAGAGATCACACATCCTTATCGCAGACTCCATCACTTCTGCTGAGCTTTGGGCACTGCACTGCCTGCTCCAGGAGCCCCACAGCACTCAGTGGGTTTTGTTCCCCGCAGTTACCTTCAGCTGCCCCAGCAGCCTGTGTTCAGGTGATGGTTGGCAGATAACAACTGGTTTGACATAGCTTTAAGATTAGCAGTGCGTGCCTTGCTGGCTGCATCCAGAGATCCGCTCAGCTCTACCTGCCCTTGTCCCTAACTGGGTAAAAATGGATGCTAAAAGTGAATCAGAAGTCAAAGTAAATGTAATATACAGGAGGAAGAAAAACCTCTGTGGAATCTGAAGTTTCACATCTTTGGCGCCTGTCCTCTTCAATATCTTTATTGATGACCTGGATGAGGCACTGAGTGCACCCTCAGTGAGTTTGCGGATGACACCAAGCTGGCTGGAAGTGTGGATCTGCCTGGGGGTAGCGAGGCCCTACAGAGGGATCTGGACAGGCTGGAGAGCTGGGCTGAAGCCAATGGGATGAGGTTCAACAAGGCCAAATGGCGGGTCCTGCACTTTGGCCACGACAACCCCAGGTGACGCTACAGGCTTGGGGCAGAGTGGCTGGAAGACTGCATAGAGGAAATGGAGCTGGGGGTGTTGGTTGGTGCTGGGCTGAACGTGAACCAGCAGTGTGCCTGGGTGGTAAAGAAGGCCAATGGCATCCTGGCTTGCATCAGAAACCATCAGGAGCAGGGCAGTGATTGTCCCCTGTGCACAGCTCTGGTGAGGCCACACCTCCAGTACTGTGTCCAGTTTTGGGTCCCTCACTGCAAGGAAGACACCGAGGCCCTGCAGCGGGTTTGAAAGAAGGGCAACAAAGCTGTGAGGGGTCTGGAGCACAGGGCTTGTGAGGAGCGGCTGGAGGAGCTGGGATTGTTCAGGGTGGAGAAGAGGAGGCTCAGGGGAGACCTCATGGCTCTCTATAACTACTGAAGGGAGGTTGTAGGGAGCTGGGGGTCGGCCCCTTCTCTCGTGTAACAGGGATAGAACTAGAGGGAATGGCTTTGAGCTGCACCAGGGGAGATTTAGGCTGGATGTTAGGAAATACTGCTTCTGTGAAAGGGTGGTCAGGCACTGAATGGGCTGCACAGGGAGGTGGTGGAGTCACCGACCCTGGAGGTGTTCAAGGAACGTTTGGATGTTGTGTTGAGGGACAGGGTTTGGTGAGAGCTATTGGTGACAGGTGGGTGGTTGGACTGGGTGATCTTGGAGGTCTTCTCCAACCTTGGTGTTTCTGTGATTCTGTGATCTTCACTCTGTATTGTCCATTTCATCAAGCAGTTCCTCGGCCAGCAGAAGGTACCAATTTGTGCAACACTGCAACCACGTCCCCTCCCCTACCAGTCACAGCCCAACATGTGCGTATGTGCACAGCGCTGATAGGAGTGCTCCAAACATAAACCAAGTCGTGTGCTGTAAGCGCACTGAGAGCCGGAGCACCTACTGCTACGCTGGGACAGTCTGTAGCAGTTGGGATGGGACATGGGGAAATGATTTCAAACTAAAAGATGGGAGGTTTAGATTGGATATAAAGAGGAAGGTTTTACACTTCAAGCAGTGAGGCAGTGGCACAGGTTGCCCAGAGAGGCGGTGGTGCCCCATCCCTGCAGACAGCCGAGGTCAGGGATGGGCTGTGAGCACTGATGGAGCTGTGGGTGTCCCTGCTCAGTGCTGGGGTGGCACCAGATGGCCTTTAGGATCCCTTCCAACTCCAACCATCCCGTGATTCTATTTTTCAGCAGCACACATCCTTAGCCATAGACCAGCTGCTGAGGAAACTGCATCCAGTGCTCTGTGGTGTCACTTTTGGAGCTGATTCCTCCCATTGTTTTTGAAGAAAGCGATGCGCTCATCAGGGACGGCGTGCCAGGATAAATGACAGCCCTCAACATGGACACCCAGCTCACTGCATTTAATTCCGTGCTCAACAAGGCTCCAGTGTCAGAGAGCAGAGCTCGGGGCTGCTGTGCCTGCAGCACCCTGCACACAGTCCAGATAACCTCTGAAATATTTGAAACTGAGCTGAAGGCACTGAACCCATATCTGCTAAGTGGGGTTAAATGGCATCTGTTGAAGCAATAAATGGGTTACACTGTGAGTAAAGGGAATATTAATGCACAGCAAAGAGAACTCAAACAGAGCCACTCAAAGCATCGATCACTGAACACAGCTTTTGGAGAAAAATCTTCTTTGTGGTTGCAATTAAAAAAGAACCCACAATTTTCTGCACCTTGCTGTTGTTTATCTCTAAGGATGCACCTTACAGGTATTCTCAGACTGTCATTAACACAACCTCATGAGGAGTCACTGACTAGGAAATGTATCTATCCACAGTACACTGTGACACTCAATTAGCTTCTCACTGATGAAGATTCTTAATAGGAGAGAATATCATTTGGGTGCACAGACGGAGCTCAGATTGCACCAAACCTCCACTAAAACGCCCTTCACTCCATAATTCCTTCCAGGTTTCCAAATGAATGCAGATCCTGCTGTGTTCCTTACTTCCATATTCCATTGTTGCTATGGCAGTAGTGATAAGAATATACTGGGGTTGCTCTGAAAGTAATGCCTCCCATTTCATGCCACGGAAATGACAGCAGATACAACAACTGCAATAAGACTCTGTGATAGAGCTACAAAGGAATATTTTTCAGCATGGTCACCAACTTCACTCTTAGCTGTTCCTGCTATTTGTAGGTGAGTCCCAAGTATTACCTTGACAGTATCTGCATATATTCGTTCCCTTTAAACTTCTGTAGATATTTGACTTTCGAGGCATTTTCCTTATTTACACTTGAATTAAGCACAGGATATGAATTATAGATTTATACTGCAACATTTTTAAGAGTTTGAACCGTAACACTGGACATTTCAAATGGTTTCAAGAGCAGCCAGCAAACCCCTTTGCTTCAAAAGGAGCACATGGCAGAGCGTGTTGCACAAAGAGCCCTTGTAGGATGGCTATTGAAGGAACGTTCAGCGTTGAGGTTTCAACAATTTGTAGTTTGTTCCTAAAGCGAGGCTGAAAATAAAGGCCTTCTGTGTGGTTCTTAGGGTGCACTTGAGGAACTTGAGGAGTACCTACAAAAAGGTGCATAGACTTAATGAGTATGAAGCTACAGTTACACAGGTATGGGAAAGAGAGACACGGAAATCAAATTCTTCAAGCCTGGATGGAAGTGAAATTGAAATACATCCTAAATACGCATTTCAAATGTTTCTAATATACAGCATCCATGCTTCAGAGATATTGGGGATCAGAACTTCCTCTGCGAGCTCAGCCACTTTTATTTATGCGATCATCTTTAAAATATTTGTTTTGATTTATATATATATATATATTTACTGTTTGTCAAATACATTCCTCAGGGTTCTGTGGAAACAAGAAGTTCATTCATTTGAAGGAGAGCTCGCTCAAAAAGAAGGCTTTTCCTCAATCATGTTTTAACGCTCCATCCCATGGCTGTGCTCACTGCTGAGCCCCCAGTGTGGCTCATAGAGCAGCCCCTCTGGTTGCCCAGGGGAGCATCAGTGTGTGCCACAGCCTTCCTGTGCCATGGGCAGAAATGAGGGTGAGGGGAATGGGATCAGCAGCCCAAGTAATGGTGGGTTTTGCTTATGAAGTTGGGCGGTGAGCAGAACCTCACCTGGGGAACCAGTGTGTGTTATTGATGTGACTGGGGACTGGCTGGGGATACCTGGGGGAGGACGATGGCAAATTTGAATGAAGGGGAGAGGTGGGGGGGTAAAGATTTAAATACTCACCAACAACGCATTCATAGAATCATAGAATCATAGAATGAATGGTCTGGGTTGAAAAGGACCACAGTGATCATCCGGTTCCAACCCCCTGCTATGTGCAGGGTCACCAACCAGCAGCCCAGGCTGCCCAGAGCCACATCCAGCCTGGCCTTGGATGCCTGCAGGGATCCACGGCCTCCTTGGGCAACCTGTTCCAGTGCCTCACCATGCTTTGAGAGTGGAAAAGCAAAACGTACATTATGCTGGGCCTTACAGTGTAATTTTGGAGTGCCCAGAAGGTTTTGAAAGTCATTTAAGGCCAAAC